CATTAAAATAACGCACGAAAGAAAGCAGGGATGCCTAGCGTATGGTAATGATTAACTTTAGCAGATGTACATTGATCGATACTACATCCTGTTCCGTTTAACAATGGCAAGAGATTCATATCGTGAACAGGCAGACAATTTTTACATACAACCGCGTGGTGGTGATGAACGCGAGGCTGCACGGCTGTATCCAGACCGAATGCAGCCGAGTCATCCAAACTTTTCTGCTGTTTATCGTTTCAGGCTCTATAGGACCAATAACTATCGATTTTTTTAATGAATTCCTATGTTGGACATATGTTTTGCTTCATGGGCATTTTACCATGTTTTGGCGTCAGGAGCCCGCCCCAATAGTTTGTAAAAGTATTTATGGATTATATATTGTACTGCTGTACATTTAACAGTGTTTACTATAAACTTATTAATTAATATTATATTTAAAACATACGGTCTATCCCTGATATTGATGGCTTTAATTCATAAATGTAACATACCTTAAAACTATATTGTATCATATGTGTGTGCGCGCGCATTAGGAAAATGGAGAATCTAATCCGTTCATTTCATTGTAGCTTCAGCTTATAAAAATATTTTGATGTGTCAAATGATATTTTCATTTGCCTGTCCATTTTCCTTTCTTCTCTCCTTCTCATATGTACTTTCATCCTGTTCATCTTATCTGCTGCTCATTCATAACGACTCTCTCTTGCTTCCAAAATGTCAGTATATTGTTGCCTTCATCGCTCCTTGCGCTTTTCGCCATTGCTTTGTCAAACTTTTTATTTCGTTTCATTGGTGTATTTAAATCTTTAATTGATGACAGACTACCATACTGTTATATTCTGTACCTATGAATCCTAATGGGTATGCCCCAATCCTCATAAATACTTTGAACACTATTGTAAGTGGGGGAGTAATCGATGCGAGTTATCAGTAAGAAATGGGATTGACGAAGCGAGTTCAAATTCAGCATAGGTTGTTAGTTTGATTATGGCGTAATTGGATAATCTGATTCTATACAAACCTTGTCTGTTGCGTTGTTATAATTGTTCATTTTTCCAGTGGTCGAACAAAATTTCAAACGGGGAGATTCCCCATTAATATTTTCGTTCTTATTTACGATAACCTGAATATTTTTCCTCCGGTGTTTGATACACATACATTAAACAGTATTTTCAAGATTTAAGTTCAAATGTCAATTAATTTATAATATAAGAAGCGGAAAAATCATATTTTAAATCAATTAATTTATAATATTAATGCTCTGTAAATTTACATTGAGCACTATTTTGTAAAAATTAAAATATCTATAAGAACACCGGATTACATAACTTACTGTTCTTCCTTTACATATATATATATATATATATATATATATATATATATATATGTGTGTGTGTGTGTGTGTGTGTGTGTGTGTGTGTGTGTGTGTGTGTGTATTGATTGAGGAATCGTAGAGCCAATTTTGAATTCCAGTTGAATCGGTAACATTCACTTACGTGCTAATAACCTTGGGAAAGTTATGAATCTCCACAGTTATGGGTAAAATAGCAGGACAGACTGGATTCTATAGCCTTGTCAAATGTTAACTGGTCTAAGAAAAGGACAACTCTGAATTCAAAACATGCGGAGGGTCGTTTGTGGACCTTGTGGAACGTAGTGCACCAGGTCTCTGTATTCGGCCCTTCAAAAAGTGTGGTTGGTTCTGCACAAAGCCTTCACCATCATAATCAAATCATATGTGCAGGCGTCTGGCTGTCGGTTCCGAGAAACTGTGTTGGTTGAAACTCATACGTCGATAAACGACGGAGAGACCAACATATATATATATATATATATATATATATATACACTCTGAATTCAAAACCAGCGGAGGGTCGTTTGGGGACCTTGTGGCACGCAGTGCACCAGTTCTCTGTATTCGGCTCTTCAAAAAAAAATCTACACAAAACCTTCAATATGTCAGTTGTCTTCCTGTCGATTTTTAGGAACTGAGTGGACTGACCCGTCATCATATGTCAACAACGGGAGAATCAACGATGGGAGAGCCCACGATATATATATATATATATATATATATATATATATATATATATATATATATATAGTAAAGATAATAAAACCGTTGGTATATAATCCAAGTGGATCCTTGTTATATAAAATATTAAAACTGATCGACAAAAGAGCTCACTATATTTATTATTACCGAGAAAATAATTAGTACACCATAAAATCTAAAATTACTTCATATGGGGAATAGGCTTATTTCAACCGACGAATAATTCAATTTTCTACCCCTGTACAGAACGAGTTCGTGTCGGACTTAGAAATTTAACTGTGGCAGCTGCAAAAAAATATAAAAGCTAATACAGAATGTATCCATTTCATTGTTTCAATCAGAGGAAAAGCGCGGGAATGTTGTCAGGTGAGGTGGAATATACATACATACATACATACATATATATATATATATATATATATATATATATATATATATATATATATTAGATGTACATCGGCAGCAGCTTATTATTTATATAGGTTTGTTTAAATATAGTTTGAGATTTTTCTTCCGTTCGGCCTGTTTTCTGTTTCTGTTCTGTTTGAGTCTGTGATAAATTATAAAATGTCATACAATTGATTTCGGTTTCGCAAGCTATTATGAAACTGATTTTATATGGGTTAATATGTTTGTGTCATTCAAAAACCAGTAAAGAACCTCAATGCACAGCAATCGACGCAATAACGCAGTTTTCTTCTTTCATTCCGACTGGAAGACGCCAAACTAACAAACAGACATTAACGGTTTTAATATTAGAAAAATAAAATATAAAATAAACACAAAGATTTGTTTTTCTTTCTAATTTAAAAACGCGTACTTAATTACCAAACAAAGGTAAAATCCTTTGTTTTTGAATTATTAAGTTTAAAAAAAAAATTACGGTAGATGGCGCTGTGTTGCCATATAGACTAGGTTACATTTGTCATTCGTGTACATTTGTGGCTAGTCGTTCGTCAAGAATTAACGTGTGTTGTAGTGAGTTAACTGAGAAATATTCTATTTAACAATGGCAGGATGTTCGTAAGGGGGCAATGATCAAAGTGTAGTACGCTGCCTTTGTGAGCTTCCGAGTCGGCGTCTGTCGAACTCTCTGCATTAGCAGAGAGGAACCCGGACGAAGCTTTGCCGAAGGGCAAGGTTTCGTTCGGGGAGGTAGACTGGGCTTGAACCCGTCTAGGCGGGTTCAAAAAGGCTATATTTTTGGCCGAGCCTACGGGCTCGGGGATACCCACATTAAACCCGCCTTGTGCCACATTCTATCCTCGTGGGTGGATTGATAAATACTAAGCAGCCAGACACGATTTTTTCATAAGGCCGCGTTAATGATAATGGACGCGAGGCTGCACGGACGTATCACATTGTTTTTCCAGACTAAAGGTAGTACAGTCATCTAACCTTTGCTGCTGTTTGTCGTCGCGTTGCTAACACAGGATCCGTGGCAATGTTTATAAAATTATTTGGAGATTTGATCCTCGATTGTACATTTAACAGCGTCTATCGTAAACTTTAAACTTAACAACCCAAAAACGAAGGATTTGCGGACATATGCTTATATGGGCTTTTGTCTTTTTTTGGGGGGAGGGGTGCGAGTAACGCGCGTGTGTGTGTGTGTGTTTATGTGTCTGTGCATTTATTCACATATTGATACGACAAAGTTAATCTCGAAGAAGCAACATATTGACACATGCTCTAGTGTTCTATGCTCAATGGCAGAGCCAAAATATTATAAAAGACAATAGGAAAACTGTAGTAGTTACCGACGCGTTTCGTCCAATGTGGACTTTTTCAAGGCAAAAAAGGAAATGAATTTATTAAACAAAGTAACTAATAATAACAAAAACAAAATGTCCTTAGCAACTGAAAGAATTTAGAGATTGCTATTACATTCATACTGTTAACTGAAATTACGTCAATTACTGTCACGTGTGGAGATATTGTTTTTATTGCTGTGTTGACGGATTCAAATATAAAGTGCCCACTATAATAATATTTGAGAGTAAGAAGTATTTATGCTAATACTATTTTGATGATCAGGACATTAAAACGTTAATTTATTCACTAATTTTTATAAAAAGAAGAATTTAGAGAACGCTATTTTCATACTGTTAACTGAATTGACGTAATTTTCAGTTAACCGTATGAAAATAGCGTTCTCTAAATTCTTCCAGTTGCTAAGAAAATTTTGTTTTTGTTATTATTAGTTACTTTGTTTAAAAAAATTCATTTCGTTTTTTGCCTTGAAAAAGTCCACATTGGACGAAACGCGTTGGCAACTATTACTGTTTTCCTATTGTCTTTTAAATTTATAAATATTTATCGTTGTAATTGAGTTATCAAAAACGACAATAGAATACCGTATTTGGTTTAACAAGTTTTTATTACCTTTTGGTACAGGGGAACCTAATATAGAATGTAAACTAGGGAAGAATTTTTAGCCGTGAATGACTAACTGTTTCTTCAAAAGCTATTGCTGCTACTTCTCTTCCTGCTACTCCTCTTCATGTAGGAGTATTTTTATGTCTTTCGTCCAACGGCCGAGTTCAAATTGTAGGGAAATATTCTCTCTTACAACACTTATATAAATCCAAATTATTATTATTATTATTATTATTATTTAGTCATCAAGATAATTTAAATTCTTTCCGATGACGTTACACAACCTTTGTGATAAATTGGTTATTCTATTTCAAAACAACGATTACAAGTATAATCGATGAATTCCTCAAATATTTAATACCACGAAATGCTTGGAACCGATGACCTGACAAGGTAGATTTCATAAAAGAAGACAAGGAATTGTCCGGACTTTACAAATCTTTAGAAAACTCAGAATCTCGATAGCTATGCATTAAGATTTTATCCAAATTCCATCAGCTCGTAATAAAGAACAGCTTTTGTATGACACCAGACAAGCAAAACTTCCCTTAGGCTATTAGGTTCAAATAGATAGATAGATAGATAGATAGATAGATAATGATAATGAAAGGACTGAAATAGAAAGAAATGACTGAGATTATATACATAGAGAGACATGAAATGATTGGGTTGGATATAAAAAAAAATCAGATAGATATATACATACGAAAAGACTGAATATATATATATTGAGAGAAATCGATATAAAAGGATTAATATAGAAATAAAGAACTATAGATATGAAAAAATCAGATAGATTGATTTGAAAGGACTGAGATAGCTAAATCCGAAAAGAGTGAGATAGATACATAGATATGAAAGGATTGAGATCGATATGAAAAAACTCAGATAGATAGATATGAAAGGGCTGATACATGCGAAAAGACTGATATATATATATATATATATATATATATATATATATATATTAAAGAAAAACAGACCACTTTAAGGTACCATTATAATAATTTATTTCACCAGAGTCCTTTTAAAGGACGCCGGATCATCAGATAGCACTTCCAAAAATGAAATGAAAAATGAAATTAAAATTGATGGGCAGTGTAAGTTTTTATAATTTAACAGAGATTGTAAAAGGAGTAGTTAAAGAGACATGGTAGAGTTTAGGGAGGGATTAATTTCATATCTCTCTCAATCATACTTAGTATTAGGAGAGGAGAAGTGAGCAGACCTTGACCTATTTAGACGGTTAACTTAACGGAAGTGATATATTGAAATGGGAGGGGAGAAGGGTGAAAAGAAAAAGGAAAAAGAAAGGAGAGGGAGAGGGAAGTAAAGAGAAAGAGGCTGTAATTGGGTTTTAGCAATTTATATAAAGAATAGATTTTAATGCTTGATAGTAATTTAGATGTTTAAAAAAAACCGAAGAAATTAATTTGATGCTTGCTAGCAATTTAAATATTTAACTTTTATACAAATAGTTTAGGGATTTAATATAAGTTAAATACTATATTTATTAACACATTTATAGAGAACATATTTTAAAAAAATTAAATTATAACAGTTTGTTTAACCGACCGGTAATATCTTTATCAGTTTGAATTTATATATATATATATATATATATATATATATATATATATATATATATATCGATATGAAAGGATTGAGATAGATATAAAAAGAAACTTAGATAGGTTTGCAAAACTCAGATAGATGTGAAAGCAATGAGATAGATACGAAAAGGCTGAAATATATATATATATATACATGATAGGATTCAGATTGATATGAAAAAGATAGATAGAAATTAAAAGACTGTGATAGATAGATAGATAGATAGATAGATAGATAGATAGATAGATAGATAGATAGATAGATAGATACTGAACATACTGGGATACAGAGATAGATAGATACTGAACATACTGAGATAGATAGATAGATAGATAGATAGATAGATAGATAGATAGATAGATAGATAGATAGATACTGAACATACTGGGATAGATAGATAGATAGATAGATAGATAGATAGATACTGAACATAATGGGATAGATAGATAGATAGATAGATAGATAGATAGATAGATAGATAGATACTGAACATAATGGGATAGATAGATAGATAGATAGATAGATAGATAGATAGATAGATAGATGAACAATGAGTGAGATATTTTTGTTTGTGTGCAGAAGACGATTCAGGTAAATAATTCCACTATTTCTCCTTTGAGGAAGGTAAATTTATCGATAAATACCTGCGATATTTATTAATCAATTAATCTAGTTAGACTTACATCGACCCGTCCGTCGATCGATCGATTTAACCCTATTTCAGTGCACGAATCTCCTGGTTTTGTCTACGAATGGAATTATTCAAAATTCTCCATTTTCTTATCAATATTTTATAAAATTGATTCCTAGTATTTAGTTTCTAATTTATTCAGTAAGTTCTCATAAAACACGATTTTAAAATTTAAACATTGATAAATGTCGGCATACAAGAATGTATTAACGTATCTTTCTTTTTCTCATAAACCAAATTCGTAAATACCTATGTTCGACACACAACTATATGCTTATCAAGAAGACTCACAATATGTCTCACAGACCATAGCTCAATTAGGACGCATTGAAAAATACCCGGATACCTACCAATCTACGTCCGTCATTGGCACGTAAAAAACCAGCTAAAAATAATGGAAGCAGCTATATATATATATGACAGAGGCTGTTTGTGTGTCTATGTGTCTCTCTGTCTGTGTGTCTGTCTGCCTGTGTAATAACTTTTCACTCTAGCTTCACCAAACCGAACTCAACGATACCTCATTTTTATTTCTACGCCAATTGATTCAACACAAATTTTGAACTAAAAGCTTCCACAATTTTCAAGCAATCTAATACAAACTTCATTCCATTGTAACCAACAATAAGTCGATTGTTTAACAGTCATTTAAATTGATAATTGAGTCCGCTCATATAGTGAAGATCCGCGTAAATTGCGAAAAATGGCGATTTTTACTGGTTTATTTCTTATTTTTCATTGATTTTTCTGCAATTTTTCATCAAACTTAACAATTGCTTTATAAATGTATTCTGTTAAGGTAGTGGAGAACTTTCAGAGGGGAATTAACAAGAGATAACTGGTAACTGACATCCATTAAACATGTCACGTGGAACTAGAACAGTCTACCCCAGTGAGCGAAATAAAGGTTTCAGTTCGACATTCCAACCACCTGAAGAAGGCCGGAGCGTACAACTGCCGAAATGTTGTAATAAATATAACAAACAAAGATGAGGACGTTGTGATAAATATGGCAATAAAGATGAGGACAATAGTCCGAATAATGTAAATATGAAGTTGATTGTTTAACAGTCATTTAAGTTGTTAATTGAGTCTAATTGGATTGTCGAACTGAACCCTTTATTTCGCTCGCTTGGGTAGACTGTTCTTGTTCCACGTGCCATGTCTAATGGATGTCAGTGATCAGTTATCTCCTGTTAATTCCCCTCTCTAAGTTCTACCTTTACTGGGTATTGAACTCACAACTCTTTGGGTCCTGTCACTGGATCTAACTAACGCCTTTATCCACTGTGCCATGTGTCCTTAGCTGATATTGGAGAGGTGAATTATTAGGGGATAACTGATAACTGACATCCATTAGACATGACACGTGGAACTAGAACAGACTATCTACTGTATACCCGTCTACTAGGGTAGCTAACTGTTGTGGTAGGATCCACCTAATTTGCATAGTGGAGTACCGACCATATAAATATGGTTGGTACCGGGAAGAGAGGGAGGAATCAAGAGATTCAACCAGAGACTCTGCCCGACTGCGACTCAGTCAACACATTCTACAGGAACGATCTTCCCAGGAATATACAAAAGACTATATGTAAATATTGTGTACATTTTCTTGTTCAATACATTTTTTTCTAAGTACATTTTGTGTTGCATTATTATTCCATGCATTAGTCAAGTTTCAACACTAACCAATCTCTACAGGAGGCCCTTGCTCAGGCGCATTCGTGTTTATTCGTAATCCACAGAGCCCACCTGTGGTTTATCCTGCAACTATTCTGAGAAGACCTTAATTACAGTTTCTGGGAGAGTGCGTGTTATCTAGCGTGATCAGCAATTTGAACAAGGCCAGCACGCTCAAAACCCTCGGCCACGATGACTTATGACTTCCTGGTACCCAATTTCACTCACTTTATTTTAAACACAATTATAGTGGATACATATCATTTCTTATACGGTGTCAACTGTAATAATGTTTGAAGTAATGTGGTGTGATTTGGGGCCAAAGATGCCGCACGTTGGGATCGACCTCTCCAGTCCGATAACATCAGGAATTCTCCTTCCTGACAAATCGACCATGGTGTGATTCGAACCCAGGTCTCATGATCAGAATGCAAACGTTCTAACCACTTCCCCATATATGTCATAGTATTTTGCAAATCCCCAAACATCTCCAGTTATTTCTTTTTATACGAATTCATATCATCATTATCAAGTGATCAAAGGATTTTTATTTAGTGACACGTGCCTCATGCCTCTTTTCCCCCTCATAAAAAGATTATTTCTAGAAATTCCTTAAGGATATTTTCGAGATTTTTGTTTATTGGAATCGCTAACCAGATGTTGAGTATTTCCGATGGAAAACAAGTGATACTCTGAATGTCTGGCGAATTCAGAACTTTACATCGAAGCGCCAGATTCAAAATCTCTGATTCAATGTATTCCTCAGTTAAACCTTATTTCACTTTTTACAATGTATCATTTAATACAGACAATTACACACTGTAAATTAATTATTTACTTAGGTTCCTAGAATTCATATTCTTTTTTAAACGACTGCTTCATTCTTTTGATTGATTCGTGTCCTACGACTTATCAACGCTTTGCAGGTTATTTCAAACCAGAAAATATTGTTCACATCGTTCAAACTGGTGTCCTCATCTTTGTTGCTATGTTCCCGACATTTCGACCGTTGTACCACCCGGCCTTCTTCAGGCGACTGGAATTTCAAACTAACCCTTTATTTAGTAAGCCGGAATAGATTGTTCTAGTTCCACGTGCCATTCCTCTTTTGGATGTCTCAATACCAATTATCTCCCTTTAACTTTTTAAAGTTATTGTTCACCTCTGCTGTAGCTAGATATTGAACTCACAACTCTTTGGGTCAAGTCACTGGATTTAACCAACGTGTTTACCCACTGGGCCATGTATCCTTGAAGAGGCTTGGCATGTGGAACTAGAACAATCTACCACGGTGGACGAAATAAAGGGTTAGTGAAAACCGGAGAGTGCAACAGCTGAAACGTCGTGAATATGACAAGATGAGGACAACAGTCCGAATAGTGCAAATAGTATAAATAATTACAATACCCGATCTCAGAAATATAGCATGAAAATATTATTGATTTGTAAGAGAAGAAGTGAATTCATACCTTTCCCAACGTAAGTAAATGTAATAAACTTTACTAGAATTCGAACTCGGCTCTCTGATTCCTTAATCCGATCCGTTATCCATTACTCCACCGTCCCTCCAATGA